TCCTAAACCCAAGACTCAAAAAGATTAAATTAAACAAAATTAAAGAATTACGAAAAAAATTTTTATGACATAAAAAAATTGAAAAAAGTTTTACTTAAAAAAATTTTTTTATATCTATTTAAAATAATTTTTGAACGTTAATAATGATGTTATTACACCAAAGAGCATTTTTATGCAATTTTTTTTTCTAATTTCGTGTAATTTGAACTTTTTGATTTTTCAATTTGGAAATTTGTCAATTTTCATAGATTAGAATATATGAAAATTTTCAAATTTCCAAATTCAAAAATCAAAAAGTTCAAATTAGACTAAATTAGAAAAAAAAATTGCATAAAAAATGCCATAGAATAAAAAATATAAAAACGTTTTACTCAAAAACAAAATATTATTCCATTTACACATTTCTCTCCTCGTTTTCATTACGAATGGAACGTAGATGAATTTTTCAGAAAATTTTAAAATAAAAGGAACCAATTTAAAATATTAAAGCAAAAAAAAATAATTTTTTTTTCAAATTTAAATCAATTATTAATGCAGAATAAAATTTTTTCAGAATACCAAATTCTCTATATTTTCACGAAACATTTTCTATTGTAAAAACTATAAATTTTCTATGACGCAAAATGTATTGTACTCTAGAAAATTTCTATTTTAGATCATACCAACCGGATTGTACCATTTAGAATTTAAATTTTAAATGCTACCAAATGGATTGCACTATTTAAAATTCAGATTGTAGATCATACAAACCAGATTGTATGTACCATTTACAATCTAAATTTCAAATTCTATACCAAAATAATATATGGATTGCAGGTATTTAAAATTTTCATTTTTCTATAATGCGTGCAAATAAAAATATTCGAATAATTTAATTTATAATTCGGTTCAATTTAATTGAATTTATAATTTAGTTCAATTTAGTTGAATTTCTATTTTAGTTCAATTTATTTAAATTTATAATTTAGTTCAATTTAGTTGAATTTATAATTTAGTTGAATTTAGTTTAATTTAGTTTAATTTAATTAAAATGGTAATTCAGTTTTAATTTAATTGAATTTATAATTTAGTCTAATTTAATTCAATTTATAATCAAATTTATTTTAATTTATTTTATCTAGAAACGTGTGATAATATTTAGTAATATATTGTATAAAGAAGATGAGAAGCATTTAAAAAGCACGTGATACTTGAAACGAGAAAAGCAACAAAAGCTGTTTGTGTGGTTTAAGTTTTGAAATATTGGATGAAAAGCAAATGAAGTACGAAAATCACAGGATAATAAAGGTCGACCCTGAAAGGTAGTTATATCGGAAAATGTTACGATCGAGGAACCTATAATACAAGAAAGAGAAGTGCAGGGATGGGTAGCGAAATGAAGCGCCGTCGGGGATAGCTTAGTTACAGGGGACGAGTGAAAGCATCAAAAGCAATGTTTGGTGACGCTATAATGAAATGAATTTATGCAGAGCCGTAATGCCTGAATATTTAGCGACCCTCTTCTGGTTCTGTTTCTGGTCTAACATATCCATCTATTATCAAAATTTACGTGTTTCTCGCTAGGAAAGTGCGTGCCACAGTAAATAAAGCATATATTGAAAACCTCAATGCAAATATATACCCACTCTCTTTCTCCTGACGACAAAAAATTTTTTTTACCCCATTAAACCTGAAAAATTTAAACACAAAAATTAAAAAACAGAAATTGGGATTCATACAAGGGGATAATGGAGTATGTAAGGTATGGAATAATTAATAAATGAAAAGATAAAGAATGTTCGGTGATTAGAGGTGAAAGATTTTTTCTGAAAATGTCGAAGGGAATCGAGCTTTGATCAATGTGTAAAACTAACAAGCTACGTGAATAATAAATGCGCAATTAACGAACTCGAGCGACGAGCGAATTTTAAATGAAATTTACGATCGTGATCGATATGTCGTAGTGCGTTGTCAAGACTAATAGGGTGGAAATAATTGGCGCAATAAATAAGTCATTATCGGTGGCTCCGCGAGATTATTTAATCAATGAAGAAGATCCCCCTCACCATCGCCACCACCCCCTTTCCTTTTCCTTCCGATCATTTCCCCATTTCCATATAATCGGTCGTCTTTTAAGCGGCACCCGATTCAAGTGTATTATTAATAACTCAGATGCACGCAAGACGCCAAAATATTTTAATCATGGCTAATTGGAGAGTAATAATGGAGTTCCGCTATTTGCTAAGCTCTCTTGGACTACACCCGAAGTTCCTTTGCATTCTCAACGCCTCAACGCGAGGGATCGCGCGGTGTTCTACGACATAGAATTCGGGCAATGCAGAAACCCAACACAGCTTGCTTTAATAAGAAAATTTATTAAAAAATTTTAAATTAAAAAATTATTTTTCCCAACCGCAATTATCATAACTGTAAATTTATTTCATTCACATTTCTCTCCATTATATTATATTGTTGATGGCAAAAATGAAAAAGCAATAAATTCTCAGAAATAATTTAATTGATAAAAGAGTATTTAATTGAATTATAAATTTTTATTAATAAAACTTGACTAATTTTCCTATATTTTTTTTGATAATTTCTATTTTTAAATAATGGAAAAATCACGTTTTTACAAGAAATAAATTATTTTCAATCAATTAAGAAAAATATTTCATTTTTATGCATTTTTTGAAATATTAATTTAAAAATACGTAATTGTAAATTGAATTAAGTAGTATTAATTAATAATCGATATTGAGTAATATTTTTATATTGTATTATTTTATTAATATTGTAATTTTTAATTAGTATTGAATTAAATTTATTAATTAAAACAGTTAATAAATTTAATTCAATACTAATTAATATTAAGTAATAAATAATTATCAAAATTAGAAAAAATACAAAAATATACTAAGTATATTGATATTAATTCAAAATAATTGTAAATTCAATTAACTAGTATTAATTGATAATTAATATTAAATAATATCTTTATTAGTTAATATAAATTTCATTCAATACTAATTAATATAAATAAATATTTGTCAAAATTGTGAAAAACAGAAAAATTCAATAAAGGGCAAGTGAAGAAATAGTAATTTAATTTCATTAATTTGCACAAAAATGAAATTACTATTTTTTTTCTTTATTAAATTAATATTATTAATATTAAAATTAAAAATAATATTAATATTATTAATTAAATATTAAATATCAAATTAAAGAATTTTCTATCAATCAATATTTACTAATTTTAATACAAAATATACAAATAAATAATTATTGGTAAAGAAAATAGAATTTTTCAACCTTCTTTATAAAGACAAAATTGACAGAAATTTCTATATTATCAAATGCACAAATTACCAAAATAATAATTTTCTAACAAACAATTTAAGATTTTAGAAAATTATTACGAATTGCAATAAATACACAGACGATAAAAGATTTCAAAAATATTTATCACAAGAAAAAAATTTTGATGTTATATTTGGTATATTAAACGGGAATATATTTACAGTAATAAAATATTATTTTCAAAAGAAACAAATTTTTGAACAAATATTCACGCAGACTATGAAAGATTATTATTTTCAAAAATAAAAAATATTTGTCATCAAGTGACAGAAAAATTTTGAGGTTATGTTTTGTGTGTAAATTCAATAAACTCTGATTAAACATATTAAAATGTATAATTCTCAAAATTTATTGAATGATTGGTAAAAATATGTTATCAGACAAGAAAAATTTGCATACTTTCCGATTTACCGGAGATATTTACAAAATTGGGCGAATAATCACGAAGCAAATGTTACATGTCAAGCACCGTGTGGTTGAAAGGTGTATAAAAATATAATCACATTGTGACAGGGGGGAGGGAAGGTGACATAATTATTAATCATAAAACAATAAATATTGCAAAAATTATCAATAAACAATAAATAGAATTTTGATTGTATACCTCTTGAGTAAATTTTGTTTACAAACCATGTGTAAAAGATTCCACAGACAAAAATCAATATTTCGATATTTTTCCATTGTCGACATATTTTGTCAGAAATAATTACTGAATATTTCTTAATTAATTCGATAATAAATAATTATTGGTGGATTATTCCTCAAATTGTATTTTACCATGAACGATTAGTATAAGCAATAATATTTACGATCTGCACGATCTACACAATGCAGTGAATACAGCAGTTGATCAGTAGTACCAACCATGTAAAATGAAAACTCAACTCTTTGCTTTTGCCAACATAGAAAAACATAATGAACAAGAAAACTAATCTCCAAATATATAGACAATGGTGACAATTGTTTACGAAACGTTTTTTTAATTTTCATTACTATTTTAGGAAATATTAATTATATGTGCAAATATTATCTCGATTATGCATAAACAATAAGATTTAAAGTTAAATTATACTCGATTCAAGTAAAAATAAAGACGACAAAATTGACATTGGACATTTGACGATTTGATATTTGTTATCAAAAATATTAATATTTTTATCTTTTTGCTGGAAACTTTTACAATATATTAATTATTCATGTTATAAAAAACTTAATTACCGTAAAATGTTCATAACACGTGTTAAGATTTCCACCATATCAAACGATAAACATTTTTTCCAACGAGCGTCATCTTTCCACTTCTAGCGACGCCATGACAGTGAAGGATCATGGGAACTTTGGTAAGTATACGCAAGTACGCACATGCGCATAAAAAATCCCTAGTCAAAGGAGTAGTGAATAAACTCATAAATAATCCATCTAAAATAAAATGTTTGGCTTAATTTCTTAGACGAATATATAGCTATATGAATAGGGAATAATATTTTCTACAAGAAAACGTAATATTTCTTACAAATATTTTTTATAATTAAGATAAAAATAATGCCGATTTGAAGTCTAGTGACAAGAAATATTTCCGAAAACTTGTCCACCAATCAGAGCACAGAAGCGGCCTCTAGTTCATTTCCGTGTGTTTCACTCCGTTCCCATCATTCCCTTGGGGCGTGGTTCGACAAGATGGTGGTCTTTGTACAGTGTCGTCATTTCGTCTTTGGAAAAGTAAGTTTTTTTGTATTTATTTTACCAATCTGTGCATTTTTCTTGTTAATAACGTGAAAATAAACATTGTTGAACAATATTTTCGATAAATTATGGTGCCTGTTTAACAAATATGTATGAAAACAGAAAGTAGGTCACGAGGTCAATGACTCGTATGTTTTCCGTCCGTGTCAATTTGTTGTATATTATTGTTGCAAATATCAAAATTTTCGTAATGTATTGCAATATTTTGTGTTTTTGAGAGCTATTTCATATCTTTGAGCTTTGTAACAGTAATTTCAGTGCGTATATATGGTATATTTCACGGTGACAGTGAATATTTTGGCTTGACAAAATTGACATATTTTTCGTAAATATTATTTGATTCTAAAGAAATATTCTTATAAATTGTAGAAAAAAATCAAATTTATTATTATTTAAGGTTATGATTATATTTATCTATAATCAAAATAAGTTTCCAGTTAGATTTTTACAGTTTTAAAACAATTTCGTATATTTTTTTTCAAAATACTGTATTCAGAGGTTATGATTTTTTCCAAATTATTTTTTAGTTCTTTTCTCTAGTTTTTTTGTATTTTCAAAACATTTTCATTTTTGTCATTTAGAATAATATATTTTGTTGTTTAATTGTTTAATTAATTTGTTTCCAGTTAATTTTTGTATGTTAATATTTGTAATTTCAAACATTGTCATATATTTTTCATCCAAAATAATATATTTGCAGGTTACGATTTTTTTTAATTTTTTCTTTTTCAAATCAATTTTATTTATTTTTCTTTTAACCTTTTATATATTTGCAGGTTATAATTTATTCCAATTGCCTGTTTTTTATATTCTAAAATTATTAAACTGTTAATTAAATATTTAATTGACTTTGAAAAAAATGTTTGTTTAGTTCCATGAAAATCAATCATAAATTAAATATTTGATAACAAACAAAAAAAATTGGATATTTTTATGAAAATTTATAGAAAAAAATACAATTACAAATTGTTTTTACTTATTTTAGAAAAAATTAAATAAAGTATAAGAAAGATCAATAAGTTTATTTGAAAATTAATTTAATTTATTAATAATTTCATTTAATGAACTTTTGAAAATTTTGTTTACAAATTTTTTAAAAATAGAAAAAATACATTAAATTGTTAATTTGTATGAATTTTAATAGTTTTAAATAAATTTTAATTTATTAAATTAAATTTATGAAATCAATTAAATTTATTAAAGTAATGAAATTAATTAAATTTATTAAATTAATGAAATTAACAGGCCTCGGATATTATGATTTTTTCGACTATTTTTAAATAATGCGACTTTTATTAACTTATATTAAAAAATTGCGACTTTTCTTCCAAATTTTGGGACAAAATACCATATTTTTAGTATAAAATGCTGTAACTTTTTTCGATTTTTACGCGCGGTATAAAAAAGTAGTATATTTTTGAAATATACAATTAACAAGATTTTGAATAATTGAAATTTAGTAAAATTAATTGGAAATATGTTAATCCTTTTCTCAAATATTTTATTATAATTTTTGAAAATTAACTATTATAGAATTTTTATTGAAAATTTTGGAAATAATTTAATTTTTAAAAATTTTAATGAATGTTCTTCAAGTGTAAATTAGATAAAAAATTAAAATATTATAATAGTTTTGATAAAAATAATTCTTTGACAAAGTAATTTAAAATTTTTTTAAATTTACTATTTTAGAATTTTTGAGAAATTATTTATAATTAAAATTCATAAAAGATTTGATTATTTTTTAAATATTTTTTAAAAACTTAATTATTTATTTGTTTAATAAATTTATTTGCAAAATTTAATTATTTTAGGGAATTTTATTAAAATTCGTTGCAAAATTCAATTATTTTCATGAATTTTAATAAAATTCATGTCTAAATTCCATTTTTTAGGAATTTTTAAAAAATTTATTGTAAAATTCAATTATTTTCATGAATTTTAATAAAACTCTTTGCAAAATTTAATTATTTTCAGAAATTTTGATAACATTTTTGTCTAAATTCCATTTTTCAGGAATTTTATTCAAATTCGATGCAAAATTCAATTATTTGCATGAATTTTAATAAAATTTTTGTCTAAATCCAATTTTCAGGAATTTTAAAAAAATTTATTGTAAAATTCAATTATTTTCACACGGAGAGAAATAGTTAGCTATTTCAGCTAATTTTTATATACCTTAACTAACCTTAATTGCTATTATATGGATAGCAATTATTGTTAGCTATTGCAGTTAATAATTAGCTAAAGTAGCTAACTTTTTTTCAGGGTTCCTACAGAATCTGGAAATCATGGAAATGGTATGGAATTTTTAAAAGGCTTCTGGAAATCAGGAAAATCATGGAAAAGGCCTGCAATTTTTAAAAGTTTCAAAATTTTTTCTGTTTTCTATTTTTTCTCTTGAATAGAAATTCAAATAATAATAAAGCTAAATTCAGATTTTTGAATTTTTGGTAATTTTCGATAATTTTAGATTTTTTACCAAAGAGTCGAGACTATTAAATAAGTAAAGTATTTTCCAAGAGCACAAAAATAATGAAGCTAAATCCCATAAAAGAGAGGAAAAAATGTTGAATTTTAAGAAATTCGGTTTTTTGAATTTTTTATAATTTTCGATAATTTTAGATTTTTTACCAAAGAGTCGAGACTATTAAATAAGTAAAGTATTTTTCAAAAGCACAAAAATAATGAAGCTAAATCCCATAAAAGAGAAGAAAAAATATTTAATTTTAAGAAAAACGGATTTTTGAATTTTTTCGAATTTTTGATAATTTTAGATTTTTTACCAAAGATTCGAGACAATTTAATAAGTAAAGTATTTTCCAAAAGCACAAAAATAATAAAGCTAAATCCCATAAAAGAGAAGAAAAAATGTTGTATTTTAAGAAAATCGGATTTTTGAATTCTTTCGAATTTTCGATAATTTTAGATTTTTTACCAAAGAATCGAGACAATTTAATAAGTAAAGTATTTTCCAAAAGCACAAAAATAATGAAGCTAAATCCCATAAAAGAGAAGAAAAAATATTTAATTTTAAGAAAAACGGATTTTTGAATTTTTTCGAATTTTTGATAATTTTAGATTTTTTACCAAAGATTCGAGACAATTTAATAAGTAAAGTATTTTCCAAAAGCACAAAAATAATAAAGCTAAATCCCATAAAAGAGAAGAAAAAATGTTGTATTTTAAGAAAATCGGATTTTTGAATTCTTTCGAATTTTCGATAATTTTAGATTTTTTACCAAAGAATCGAGACAATTTAATAAGTAAAGTATTTTCCAAAAGCACAAAAATAATGAAGCTAAATCCCATAAAAGAGAAGAAAAAATGATGAATTTTAAGAAATTCGGATTTTTGCATTTTTTATAATTTTTCTTAATTTTAGATTTTTTACCAAAGAGTCGAGGCTATTAAATAAGTAAAGTATTTTTCAAGAGCACAAGAAAAATGAAGCTAAATCCCATAAAAGAGAGGAAAAAATGTTGAATTTTAAGAAATTCGGATTTTTGCATTTTTTATAATTTTTCTTAATTTTAGATTTTTTTACCAAAGAGTCGAGACTATTTAATAAGTAAAGTATTTTCCAAGAGCACAAAAATAATCAAGCTAAATCCCATAAAAGAGAGGAAAAAATGTTGAATTTTAAGAAATTCGGTTTTTTGAATTTTTTATAATTTTCGATAATTTTAGATTTTTTACCAAAGAGTCGAGACTATTAAATAAGTAAAGTATTTTTCAAAAGCACAAAAATAATGAAGCTAAATCCCATAAAAGAGAAGAAAAAATATTTAATTTTAAGAAAAACGGATTTTTGAATTTTTTCGAATTTTTGATAATTTTAGATTTTTTACCAAAGATTCGAGACAATTTAATAAGTAAAGTATTTTCCAAAAGCACAAAAATAATAAAGCTAAATCCCATAAAAGAGAAGAAAAAATGTTGTATTTTAAGAAAATCGGATTTTTGAATTTTTTCGAATTTTCGATAATTTTAGATTTTTTACCAAAGAATCGAGACAATTTAATAAGTAAAGTATTTTCCAAAAGCACAAAAATAATGAAGCTAAATCCCATAAAAGAGAAGAAAAAATGATGAATTTTAAGAAATTCGGATTTTTGCATTTTTTATAATTTTTCTTAATTTTAGATTTTTTACCAAAGAGTCGAGACTATTAAATAAGTAAAGTATTTTCCAAGAGCACAAAAATAATGAAGCTAAATCCCATAAAAGAGAGGAAAAAATGTTGAATTTTAAGAAATTCGGATTTTTGCATTTTTTATAATTTTTCTTAATTTTAGATTTTTTACCAAAGAGTCGAGGCTATTAAATAAGTAAAGTATTTTTCAAAAGCACAAAAATAATGAAGCTAAATCCCATAAAAGAGAAGAAAAAATATTTAATTTTAAGAAAAACGGATTTTTGAATTTTTTCGAATTTTTGATAATTTTAGATTTTTTACCAAAGATTCGAGACAATTTAATAAGTAAAGTATTATCCAAAAGCACAAAAATAATAAAGCTAAATCCCATAAAAGAGAAGAAAAAATGTTGTATTTTAAGAAAATCGGATTTTTGAATTTTTTCGAATTTTCGATAATTTTAGATTTTTTACCAAAGAATCGAGACAATTTAATAAGTAAAGTATTTTCCAAAAGCACAAAAATAATGAAGCTAAATCCCATAAAAGAGAAGAAAAAATGATGAATTTTAAGAAATTCGGATTTTTGCATTTTTTATAATTTTTCTTAATTTTAGATTTTTTACCAAAGAGTCGAGACTATTAAATAAGTAAAGTATTTTCCAAGAGCACAAAAATAATGAAGCTAAATCCCATAAAAGAGAGGAAAAAATGTTGAATTTTAAGAATTTCGGATTTTTGAATTTTTTATAATTTTTCTTAATTTTAGATTTTTTACCAAAGAGTCGAGGCTATTAAATAAGTAAAGTATTTTCCAAGAGCACAAAAATAATGAAGCTTAATCCCATAAAAGAGAGGAAAAAATGTTGAATTTTAAGAAATTCGGATTTTTGCATTTTTTATAATTTTTCTTAATTTTAGATTTTGTTACCAAAGAGTCGAGACTATTTAATAAGTAAAGTATTTTCCAAGAGCACAAAAATAATGAAGCTAAATCCCATAAAAGAGAGGAAAAAATGTTGAATTTTAAGAATTTCGGATTTTTGAATTTTTTATAATTTTTCTTAATTTTAGATTTTTTACCAAAGAGTCGAGACTATTTAATAAGTAAAGTATTTTCCAAGAGCACAAAAATAATGAAGCTAAATCACATAAAAGAGAGGAAAAAATGTTGAATTTTAAGAAATTCGGATTTTTGCATTTTTTATAATTTTCGATAATTTTAGATTTTTTACCAAAGAGTCGAGACAATTGAATAAGTAAAGTATTTTCCAAGAGCAAAAAAATAATGAAGCTATATCCCATAAAAGAGAGGAAAAAATGTTGAATTTTAAGAAATTCGGTTTTTTGAATTTTTGATAATTCTAGATTTTTTACCAAAGAGTCGAGACTATTTAATAAGTAAAGTATTTTCCAAGAGCCCAAAAATAATGAATCTAAATCCTATAAAAGAGAGGAAAAACTGTTAAATTTTAAGAAATTCGGATTTTTGAATTTTTGATAATTTTCGATAATTTTAGATTTTTTACCAAAGAGTCTCGAGACTATTAAATAAGTAAAGTGTTTTTAAAGAGCAAACTCATTTTTTTCCGTGCAGGAATTGTAATAAAAATTTTTGTCTAAATTCAATTTTTAGGATTTTTTTAAATTTATTGAAAAATTCAATTATTTTCATGAATCTTGATAAAACTCTTTGCAAAATTTAATTTTCTTATGTAATTTTATTAAAATTCTAATTCATCTATAATTTCAATAAAACTCTTTATAAAAATCAATTATTTTCAGAAATTTTAATAAAATTTTTGTCTAAATTTAATTATTTTAAGGAATTTAATTAAAATTCATTGTAAATTTTAAATATTTTTTAATGATTTTACTAACTTTAAATTATTTTATAAAAAGATTTTACCAAATTTCCATTTTTTTAAAAAAATTTTAATTGTTACGTTATTGTAAAACTATTGCGTCTTTCAAAAATTATTTAGAAATATTTTTAAAAAGTTAATTTTGCGAATTTATGTTTAAAATTTTTTGAATATATTCTACCTTAATATGTTTAAAAAGAAAAATGAATGATTTCAATTATTATAAAAAATTGAATTTTTGTATTTAAATAATTGAATTCTTGAAGAACTTTCGGAAAAATATTAAAAGTAATATAGATAATTGATTTAGAAATGAAGTTTAATTCAAAATTGTAGAAAATAATTGAATTTTTGTAAGAGTTATAGTTTTAATTTTTAGAAATTATTAAATTTCAGAATTTGAAATTTTTTAAATTTGATTTCCTTGTGAAAAAAGAAATAAGAAGTACCTATTTAAATATTTTATCTAGCAAAATTGTACAAGTTTTGATTAATTGAATTTAGAAATCAGTGAAGAATCAGGGAAATAGAAAATAAAATATTTGTGACAACACTAAATTAAATAAACGACTTTTTCGACTTTTTTCTATTTTTAATCGACTAAAGCGACTTTTTTTGTTTGTTAAAGTCGTTTTGAGGTCTGAATTAATTAAATTTATTAAATTAATGGAATTAATTAAAATGTTGAACTAAATTAAATTCTAGTAAATAATGTTTGAAATTAAACATTATTTAAAATCAATAAAAAAATTTCTCGATAATTTCGAGTTAACATTTTTAATTATAATTATATTTTATTTTTCAGCTTTCTCCACTCACGGCCACAACGAGAGAGAAAATGTTTCCGCAATCCTTTGCAACACAGAAAAAAATTGTGGGCTATTTAAGAGTTTGTCTATTTGGAGAAATACTCATAAAATTTTCAATTTGATGCAAATCTAATTATGATTGGCTGAAGAAGATTGTTTTGGAAATTGCTAATTGACTTTCAGGTAAATTGAATTAATATTTAACTAGTTTGATATTTCGCTGAAAATATTTATTAAACTTATTCTCAAATTAATAAATTTTCGTTTTGTTTGTTACAGGTTATTTAAGAGTCTACCAATTTGCAGAATTACTTACGAAATTTTCAATCTGATGAAGATCTAATTGTTCGTGGCTAAAAAAAGATCGATTTGGAAATAACGTATTCGCTACATGGTAATTTAATTAAAATACAACTCAGTTGATATATTTCTTTTCTTAATTTATTCAATTTTCATCTGATTAATATTTTTTTTGCTCAGCTGTTTATATGAATTTAATATTTATGTTTTATTTATTTTTCAGTGTCATTTGAAACAAAGACCAAGCGTCATAATTATTCTACATGGGAATTAAAAGTATATTTTGGAAGTCTAAACCATTTGTAAAAAAATTGAAGTATCGAGTCAGTGGAGTGAATCGTAACATTGGTAATTTGTAAACCAGGTACAATTTAATTATCAATTTTATTTATTTTTTGTTAATTTTTGCATTATAATTAAATAATCAATATTTCAAACTATTTGAAAATCATAAAATGCCCATGACGTGTTGATTATTAGTTTAGATGCTTTACTCCTAAACTAATTAATTTATCGCAATATCTCTCACACTTTTGACAAACAATCCTGATAGTATTTTAGATTTCTCTTGAAAAATATTGACTTAATAACAATTGAAAATTTGATAAAATGCAAATTTGCTTAAACGTAAATTCAGTTAAACGAAAATTCTGTGAAATAAAAATTCACTCAAACGCAATTTCGGTTAGATGTCAATTTAGTCGCATTGATTTTTTGCCAAGGGGAAATTTTTTGAAAAATGGGATTTAATTTTCATGAATTATTGTATTTAATTATTTTTGAAAATAATCAAGTACAATTATTTGTTCAAATTATTTTATTTTTTATTAAGAAGAAAAGCAATTGAACTTTGATAAAAAGAAACATTTTTTTGATAATTGTATTATTTTATTCAAAGAAAAATTTGTGATATAAATTTTAAAAAAATGTTACAAATTTTTTAACTTCTCGTTTGGATAATAAAGGGGAAATTAAATTTTCCAGAGGGATTTTATCGGAAAAAAAATAAAGGATAATTTATAAGAAAATTATAATTTGTAACAAAATAGTGTGATAAATCATACAACGTAACAATTTCGTGATTCTTGTTTTTGATCTAAATCATTTGAAGAGAGATGATATAACCTAAGCTTTCTTACACGAGCAGACAGTAGTTTCCTTCCTTTAATAATTTTCCCGAAATTATGGAGTAATAACCGGCCCGCGTCGCGTATAATATCTCTATATTTCAAAGGCCATTAGTTTATAATCAACACGTCTCGCGGCCAACAGAACTTTACTGAATCGTTGTGTCTCGTCCAGCACTCGCTGAAACGCCCCTCCTTTGAATATTAGTATGTTTAAGAGCGTAACAACATGCGAGGACTGCTAATAGTACACTTTGCCTTATATTCTTTTTATTGCAAAACATAATACTTAAAAAATCATTTAAATGAACTTTCCGCAAAAAAATGTTTATTACTGGAATGTTAAGGACTGACCAAATTGCCAAAAATTATATTTTACGAGAAAAACAAAGTGAAACTATTATTAAGTTTGCACTGATGAATAAAAAAAAAGTTTAATGTCCCTATGAACCAGTAAATAAGAATCAAATAGTAAAATTATTCCAATTAAATACGAAATCGAATAAAAAAGTTTCAGTTGTATAAAAAATTTTAACTTTAGTTTCTTTTTGTATTTTTGTACCATTGTGTTATGAAAATTAATGCTTTTAATTTTTTTAAGAAACATATTAATTATTAATAATTAAAAAATTAATATGTTTCTCCCAGTAAATGTTTGCTAACGATTTAAAATTTTCGGAATAAAAATTTTATCGGAAAAAAATAAAGAGAATCTTAGGCAATTTAATAATTTTTGTACAGTGATGAATATGGCATATAAAAAATTATTGTTTAACAATTGCTATATTTTTCTATGCAACAATAATTTTCTATGAAGTCCTAATGAAAATTTCAAAATACTTGGCGCATTCAATCCTTTTAGAATTTTTCTAATTAAAAAGAATTCAGAAATTTTCAAAACATTTATCAGTTTTAGTAAATGCTGGACTTTGTTTATAAAAAAAATAATTTTTTAACAATTGGCGCATCTTTATTTTGTAATAATAATTTTTTAACGCCCAAGTAAAAATGTTTGAAAAGCCTGGCGCATTCAGCTTATTTAGGAATTTTTAATTAGATGAAACAAATTTTAGAAATCATTAAAATATTTGTCAGTTTTCGTAGTAGCTGGACAGTTGTTTAGAAATTATTTATTAAACAATTGGGGCATTTTTATAAACAATAATTTTTTATATTGCCTTAGTTGAAAACTATAAAAAGACTGACGATTTTTGACCCTTAGAATTTTTTTGACTTTACGATAAAAATTAGAAATTTGTTTTTTGTAATTGTTGGACTTTGTTTATAAAAAAAGAATTTTTTTATTGACTTAGTAGAAAACTAAAAAGCCTGGCGCATTCAGCTCATTAAGGTATTTTTAATTATACAGAAAAAGTTTTGAAATCTTTGAAAAATGACAGTTTTCGTAGTTGTTGGATAGTTTAAAAAATTATTTATTAAACAATTTGAGCATTTTTATGTGCAATAATAATTTTTTATAATGCCCTAGTGGGAAACCTTAAAAATAATACTGTTTTCTGCCCCTTTCGATTTTTTTTTGCTTTTATATGAAAAAACTTAGAAATTTTTGAAATTGGCAATTTTTGTTGTTGCTGGACTTTGTTAAAAAATTATTTATTAAACAATTGGCGCATCTATACAATTTTAATTTCTTAAATTGCCTTAGTGGAAAATATTCTAAGGCTTTTTATCTCCTTAGGATTTTTTTAATTTTACAGTAAAATTAAGAAATCTCTAAAAAATTAGCAGTTTCAGTAGTGCTGGACATTGTTTATAAAAAATTAATTGTCTCACAGATGGCGCAACTTTATATACGAAATTAATTTTTTATAATACTCTGGTAAAAAGTTTTAAAAGACCAACGCATTTTACCTTTAAAAGATTTTTTACATTTAACAGAACAATTAAAAAAACATTAAGAAATTTGATAATTTAATTAGTTGCTGGACAATTGTTCAAAAATATTTATTAAACAATTGACGCATCTTCATATGCTATATAGTAATTTTGTATGAAGCCCTAGTAAAAAAATTTAAAGTGCCTGACGTATTCAACGCGTTTACAAATTTTTAATTGGATGCTGTCCATAAATTACGTAAGACATTTTTTTGGAAAATTTGACCCCCCCTCCCCCTCATAAGATATTTTACATACATTAGCGCCTTTTTTCTATTGTTTGTAAGATCTTGCTGAACCCCCCCCTTTCCCCCTAAATGTCTTACGTAATTTATGAACGGTCCCTTGTAAAAAAAAATTAAATCTTAAACAAATTTGCCAGTTTTAGTAAATGCTGGACATTGTTTATAAAAAATTAATTTTTAAACAATTGGCGCATCATTATTATGCAATAATAATTTTTTAACGCTCTGAAGCATGAATCATTTGACCCCTTTAGAATGATTTAATTTTACTAAAAAAGTAAAAATTTTGTTTACAATTTTATCAGATGCTGGACATTTGTTTAAAAAGTTATTCATTAAACATTTGGCGCTTCTTTGTAACAATAAGTGATTTTTTATAAGGCCCCAGTAGAAAATTCGACTACAGATCCTTTCTGCCCCTTTAGAATTTGTTTAAATTTACTAAAAAAGTAAAAATTTTCTACAAAATATGTTAGTTGCATTATTTGCTGGACAGTTGTTTAGAAATTTATTTATTGAACAATTGGCGCATCTTTATATGTAATCATGATGTTTTATATTGCCCTAGTAGAAAATTAAAAAATTGACCCATTCAGTCCCTTTAGGATTTTTTAATTTTACGAAAGAAATAAGAAATCCTTGAAACATTTGATTTTTTTTTTGTTGCTGTAAACAATTGTTTACAAATTTATTTATTAATCAAATGGCGCATCTTTATATGATACACTAATTTTTTATAATTCTCTAGTAGAAAATTTAAAAAACCCTGAAAAGCATTCTGATAAAACTTTTAGGATTTTTTAAATTTTATACGAAAAATGAAGAAATCTTTAAAAAAATCTTCTCTAATTTTAGAAGGTTGTTGGACATTGTTTAAAAAAATTAATTGTTTATCAATTGGAAAATCCTTAGAAAAATCATGGTGAAAAATTCTAGAAAAATAAAGGGTTTCTGTCCCCTTAAAATATTTTAAATTTTACCAAAAACAAATAAGAAATTATTATAAAATTTTTCAGTTTCTGTAGTTGATTATGTTTTATAATTTTTTTTTAATTATTGGTACATCTGTGATAGAACTCTGGTTTTAAATTCTGATAAAGATAGGCGTACTTTACCCCCTTGTGAAATTTCACATATTTAGAGAGCATAAATTTTCCGAAAAACAAAGAAATAAGCTATTTCTGTAGTTGCTGGTTAGTTATTCTGAAATAATTATCGTTCAAAAATTTGTGCATCTTTGGAAAATTTCTGATAACAAATTCTTAGAAAACAAACAAAAATGTTGATCCTTTACAATTTTTTAATCAATATTTTAAAGAAAAATTTTAAACAAAGAAGCAGTTTCTCAGTTAAGCTGATTATTATTTTATTAACGAATTTAAACATAAATATATTTAATTTACATAAAAATAATATTCCTTTTTTCAATAATAAAAATAAATTGCTTATAAAATTTATCCAATGTGAATCTTTGTGTTGATTTTTATTGTTAATATTAATTAATAATTACTAAAGACTTGTGTTCAATTTACGAATAAATCACAGATATGAGTGACATTACCGAAAATTGAATATTTTTAATTTGTTTTAATGAACTTCTCTTAACGATCTTAATTAAAATGGACGTGGAACAAAAACCTTTTAATAGTAACGTGTACTTTATGAAATCAAAATTCAATTAGAAGAGGGATTGATTTCACAGAAAGAATAAATAATGTAACGAAATCTGAATTATAAATTTGATTTTATGATGAATAGATTAAAAATACGGTTAAAGTATTTTGAAATAACTTTCAGACGGGCTTTAAATAATCCCTAGAATAAAATAAAAAAGTAAAACATAGTATTCTCAGCTTATTATCGTTTTATTAAAAAAAAAAACGGAAAAAAGAAAGAAACTTAAAATTTTATTACAAAAATTCACTCTTTATCGACAGTTTATTATTTTTCTCCAGTTATTTCCAGTTATTTAATAAATATTAATTACTCTTGATAATATCACAAAAAAAGAAAACATTTTCTTTTAACTGATAATTTTAGCGTTGGATAAATTTTATAAATAGTACAAAAATGTTAGGAAAAAATTATAAAAATAT